AGTATTTTCTTGTCCAAAACTCTCTTTTGTTTCAATAGAACAAAATCAAATTAATCGTATGCATAGAAATAACATTTTCAATAAAAAATATGTTATTACTAACATCAGGCCTTGTTATTACTAACAGAAAAAAACAAAAAAATGGCCTTATAGTTACAGACTCTTTAAGCGCATTAATGGCCATTGCCGAATAGAAAACAGAAAATGCCATTTCCAGAAAAATCAAAAACTGCTTCTGGGAAATGATGGAGTCGCCGGACAGAGACATCGTCCTCGTATGGGTACCCTCACATTGTGGCATATCTGGAAACAAAGCTGCAGACAGAGTTGCGAACCTCGCAAGAAGGAGATTGGAATGCAAAAAAAATGCTAAATGAACAATGGCAATTTAAGTGGAACCAATCTACAAATAAATTGCAAGAAATTAAAAAAGATATCCAACCATGGACGACCACTTTCAGAAAGAATAGAACAGAGGAAATAATTTTAACTCGGCTTAGAATTGGACATGCAGCCTTTACCCATGGCTACCTGATATGAGTCCTGGAACCACCATTTTTTAAAACATGCAACACATCACTCACACTTAAACATATTGTAATAACTTGCAGGCTATACTGTGACACCTGAACAAAACATAATATACCTCCCAACAAATCTGACGCACTTTCAGATGACGAAGAAAAGATACAAAAAGTATTTAATTTATAAAATACATTAAATTTGTCCACCAAATTTGATTCCATCTAAAGCCATTAATGACCCGCTCGGGTAGATGCGGAATGTAACAATAAATAAAATAAAATAAACAAAAAATAATAAAATGATATTTCACATATGTTATACTTTCATAATAGGAGCCACTATGGTCAAGTGAGTTAAGTAGCCTGAAAAAAACAAAACATTTATACTAAGTGTTCAAATCCCGCTCACAGGAAATAATAACACAAAAAAGAAAATTAATATTAACTTAAAATTAATAAGTGACTACTTCAGCAGACCACTAAGGCATGGGTTCGATTCCTGCATGGAGACGGTAACGTCCCCAATCTGAGATTTAAAGGGAGGTGAGCGACCCTCGTGTCTTACTCCATAGGTCCTTGTCCTACAGGTTGGAGGTCGGGTATGGGGCTGATCCTATCCCATTAAAATATCCCTACCCCATTAAAACAACTGGTTGGAAGATTGGAGCAAAAGATTGCCAACCATTCATCAGAAAAGTTCCTGATGAGAAGGGAGTGAAATGTGATCGCTTCCAATTAGTAAACCACGTGCCTCCTGAATATCTCGAAGATAAGAGAACAAAGTGATCACTGCTAGATGATCCCTCCCAAGCTGTATGAAGAAGACTCATGAGTTAAAAAATCGAAGTCAACTGGCGTTGGAAAAAATAATTTTATAATAATATAACCAGATAACATCTAATCGTATTATGACGATTGTTAATTAAAATAACTAAAATCAATGGTTAAAATAGTTGTTTTATTTTGAAAATGAAATATCATTTAATGCAGTTATGATATATGAGTAACCATTTAGGCTTAATATTATACCTGGAATGAATCAACTAGACAGAATATGTAGTGCTATAATTAAAATTTCTCCCTATTAATTCCAGAAGAATAGGCACACTGTTGAGAGAAATATGCGATTAATGAGCGCATATATTTTACGTGTCAGTCAAGCCGAAAGTGCCTAAGGAGCTTACAACTTGCCTTGTCAACGCAACTTCCTAATTGAACAACAAGTTAGATGAACGGCATAAAGGGTTTTATGGCAGTGGACATCGACTTCATTGCGGCTACGAAGAAGTTTCCGCTTGTTATGGAAGTACTTATGTCATTAGGAGAACTAATACTCACCCTATTTAACGTAAAATTATAGTTATATTCCAGCGGCGGTGAAGTGATTGAACTAGTCAAACTACATTTAACAAAACATGATAACATAAATTTCGATAAATTAACTTCTTTTCTAACTGTGAAGATTTGGATGATTTTAAAAGCGAACCCCTTCCTCTCAAAATTACCGGCAGAAATCTAACGGGTCTAAATTTCGCCAACTCAGACATCTCATATCAGTAATTAAAAAAAAAAAAAAGAAAAAATATATGCATCAACTACAGACAGTATCTGTGTCATCATATAAACCACGAAGCTATTCTTATTATGAGTCGTTAGATATTTAGTTTTTTAGTTATTTGATTATGCAACTTAAGTTACCTTGAGGTGAAACGTTGTTGAAACAGCCTAATGGAACGTGATATATTAAATATACTTTATGAGGAATCATATTTTCTGTTGGAAATTGAATTAATTTTATATATTTTTATTTGTATATTTTTTTGTAATACTCTGGTTATTGAAACTGTGTATTTAAAAACAATATATTTTGACACACTTGAGACCAATAGATTCTATACCATTCATATCATGTATAGAGGAATAATACATAAACAAAAAAATTAATTTTAAAGCCATTAATTGTTTTGAGGCATTTCAAAAAATGTCCCTGATTCTTGACTAACGATAAAGTAATGGATATAGTAGACAGCCTTACCTTATTGTAAGGAAACTAGCTATCAAGTTGTTACCTAAACTTTCAATAAATTTAAGATATCATTTATTGTTAAAAAAAGTGGATATACTAATGTCAATATTAAAAAAAAAATTAAGATAAGGTTAAATAAAAGAAATAAACAGGGAACCTTTAAAAAAACATGTGATTAGTTGCTGTTTTGGACAGATTTAAAAAATAAAAATTACTTTTTATACATTATGCGTTGGTTAATAAATTGTGATAGAAAAACTCGATGGTGATGAAAATATTCTTTTTTTACATGTTTTTTTTTTGCTAACAACTTTTCAACGACATAGATTGGATACAAATATGTTAATTGATCCATATCCTTATTTTTAAAGCATTAGATTCAGATTAGGTCTAGAAAGAATTATATTATTACCATTGAATGCATATATAGTTGAAAAATTTTCTTCTCAACTATGGTTTAATTCAACTCTCTAATAGTGATGTAGGGAATTTTCTCAATTCTCACAACTAATGATGAAATCAGTTTTAGTAGTCCAATTTTTTTTTTTTTTTTTTTTTTTTTTTTTTAATTTTTAATTGGAAAATGACAGATGTCCTTACCAAGGTTATGCCCTTCGATTGATGTTTCGAAGTTGGAATAAAAGCAGTACAGGCGGAGTATCTGTTAAATCTGAAAGTTCCTTTCTTCGAAACATAGATCCAAGATCTCTCAGTCTCCCCAGTTCCAGAGTTTGCTAAAAGTCATTATTTACACTTCTCAGCTGCGGCTACGGGCTTGCAGTCAGTCTTCAGTTTACTTATGGCTGTGAATTACTAAAATTAGTAAAGTTAGGCTTGATATTTTCGGCATTATTGTTTATTAGTAAAGCCCTATCTCTCTCTCTTTACTTTGATACTATTATCAAAACGGCACTCTGGTTCAACACACAATTTGAAAAATTATAAAGGTATAAAAATTTATAATTTATTCCTCAAAAAAGATTAAAACTTTTTAATTTTAAAATTTCTATGTAGGCTATACTTATAATATTGACTAGCATTAATAGACAACAACGATTCGAGGTGATCTTGTTTTCACACAAACATAATGTATTTTTTGTTCTTATGATTTAATTTTTCAAAGAACTATTTTGAGTACCATTTCTACATCCGTTCATCGATAGTCAGATCAATCATCTTATATTACTAAAGGAAAAAAAATTCAAATTGATAAAATAAAACTCATATTTCTACTCTCTTTTTCACATTTCAAGATTTATTATGCATGAAGTAGAAGCGTAAAAATAAAGATATTGGGAATTATATTTTTCTGTAAACATATGATTGCCGTTTTGTCCTCTTACTGTACGGTTAGCAATTTCAGATGTTATGAGTCAAAAATAAATTAAATTTGTTGTAGGAAAATCTTGTTTTCAATCTTCAGTATCAGTTTGAGGAAAATCTAAAATCTATTAAAAAATTATTATATAAAAAAATAAAATTATTAAGATATGTACGAAAAAACAAACAAAAAACTCTGTAACAAATATAATAGTATTTTTTGATTGAAAACTATGTTTCTTTCACGAATAATCATTACATTTTTTTAAAGTGGACTTTTCTATAAAATAGAAAAAAAATTTCTTTATCATTAATTAATGTTTAAAATATGAATTTAATTTTAAATGCATAATTTAATATTATTTCCTCATTTTCTTTCACATTCAAGGAATCAAGCGATAACAAGATAAAATAAAATATAAAAATCTGACATCAATGAAGGAAAGGGTGCCATAAATTTTTATCCTTAAATATTTAAGAATCAATTAATTTTCTATATTTATGGCAGTTTTTAATATTATAAAAAATCATTTATACCTTACACGAGGTATAACATGAAGATGGATTATAGAGATCTGAATTTCATTTAATGACCTCTTTCATTTTTAATTCTTTTTTTTTATCTAAAGAGTGCATTTATAAATTTACAAAAGTGCTTTGGCAGTACAGTAGCATGCAACATACATTTATTTTCATTACGTTATCTTTAAGGATCTAACATCGAGAACAGGTTTAATTAAATTAAGCCGATAAGTATAATATTACAAATATCTTATGACTTACCAACTATAACGGGTCATTATATTCAGGAAACTAATATCTCTGTTTCGGACGTTGATATAAAAATGTCTGAATAATATTAAAAGTGCACGATATGATTTAAATTAAATTAAAATAATTAATATTATTCTAAATAATAATTTTTGGTATGTTCTCATGATTCATCGATAGATTGTCTTATTAGAAGCTGTGGAAGAAGAGCTGAAAGCAAGATAAGTTAGTTTTGTTTTGTTCATTCACCAAGTTTCCAAATGAGATACACAATATTAGAAAACTTCACTGGCCTATTCATATATGAATGATACTTATGAAGTAAGGCATTTGTGTTTATCCAATCTCATATTTATTGGCTTTCAACTAACTTCCTATTTTTCCCATTAGTATTTGAGCACTAATAATTACAATCCATTCAATTATTCACAACCAGTAATCTCTTTATAAATATAATTAACAGTCGAGGAATAAACGAGATAACATATTTTCCACAAACTTATAACAATATTTTATTTAAAAAGAAAAACCAAAAATAAACAAATAAACAGAAAATTTACAAGATCTATTTACATGTCTTTATGGCCCTAAGGCTTGTGATACCTTGGGCCGTTTCTCCGACGTCATGGCTTCGATCCAGTCGTGATCTGACTCTCAGGACTCCTACACATCAGCAGGTTTTTGTATGCTTGTCTGTACTCGGAGCTCATTACTACGTAGATTATGGGGTTGATACAGGTTGTCAAGTATATCAGAATATATCCCGCAATATTAAGGCTTCTCAGATCTACCCACTCCCGGTAAGTCTTGCTTAAAGTGATCGGCAGGTAGCAAGTAACAAAAGAAGCGAATATAACTAGAATCATTTTCAAGAGTTTTTTGTCTTTCGGGGTCATTTTTCCTGGAATAGGTGGAGCGGAATATCTTCTTGGACTACACCTTTGGCTAGTTTTCCTGAAAACCGAAGCGACATGGTTGAGCGTTGAATTGACTGCTGAAGGTATCCTTTCTTTGTGTTTTCTCTCTTTTGGAGAAGTGGCCCTAGAAGAGCACATTGAAGTTGGAGTCGCGCTCCTAGAAGTGATATCCTCTAGACCCTCTTCAACTCCCGAAGACGAGGACGGGTCTGACAGTACCTTTCGTGGGGAACATCCTGGCGGTGATAGGAGGTTAGGGTTTGGCAGTGTGACGATTTTTATATTAAGTTCAGTGAGTTCTGTTCCATTGTCCATGGTTGATGATTTTTCAGTGGAAAAAGAAGGGGCCGTCGAGCTAGTTGCGAACGCGGAATCGTCGGTAGAGCTGTTATTGCACTTCCTTAGGAGCCTTACCTTACCGTAGTAACTTTTTCCAGAAGTGGTGGTACTAGCAGTAGTTGATTGGTGCGTTCTTCCAGCCACCCTAGACTTGAGAGCGGTCTTGCGAACTATGTAGAAAATTCTGGCATAGCAGACGACGATACAGATGCAAGGAATGACAAATGCTACAAGGAATAGGAACTCTTTTGGCGACCTTCCGGCGGCATCAGGAAGGATTGAGCATGATCCAATTCTGGGATCGAGGCCGAACTTTCCCCACCTGCCAAACCAGGTGGCAACTAAGGCACCGAATCCACAAATCCAAGTTGCTGCTACCATTAATCCTAGATACTGCTTTCTATACAACCTGTAACAAGAAAATTAGTTAATACGAAATGGTTTTGAAAATAATAAAATCAAAGAATTGATCAATAAAATTAATAGTATTTTATTAAATTTCCATTTAAGCTTAAAAATAACGTACATCATTCATCTTTTCATTAAAAAAATAGTACTATAATTATTTGGAGCTCTTAGCTTTTAGCCCACTTTATTTTAAAACTTTTCTCATGAATTTTAAGCTTATTTTTCTCGTTCCTATTACAAAGCATAAAATATATTTTTTATTTGTCCTATTATGTGTGGTAATATGAAATTGTTAATAACCTTGCCATTAATCTACAAATAACCTAGATAATATCTACAGATGACTTCATTTAGATAATTTTATGGGTGATAAATAGAATGTCATGAATGACTGCGTCCCGACTATTTATCACCCACGATATGTAGAACAGTTGACTAGTTTCCTTCAATAATAAGATTATTTTAATTTACAGAAAAAAAATAAATAGGAAATTAACACAGATGAATCGAAAAGGAATAAATTAATAGAACTAAATTGGTCTACTTTTTAGTATTTTAGGACATGATTTCAACAGAACAAATTGTGAATAAATGAATTTATTATCTAAAAAAAATCTTTGGTTTATTGCAAACTCTCATTAAGTAACTTTTTATGAAACCAAGCCATTAAATGATTTGATGAATTTCTCCTGTGTGTTATCATAGCATTTTGACATTATTTTAACTTTGTTTGACACAAGATATGGTTTCGGCTATTTTTGTGCCAATAATGAGTTTTCTGAACAAAATTCGCAAACATTTATTTATTAACATTTTAATAAAATATTTATCTGTAAGTGTAGCTCAAAATGTGCACCTAATGGCTTTTTGTAGTAGACAGACGACTTATATCCTTTCTTTTAGAATTCAATGTTTCGTTCTGCCGTCATATAGAATTAAGTTAATCATACGATCTACTTGTTACATAGTTGGTGTTTAAGCAAAAGTAATCAGCAGTAAATACCTCTTTTCATCAAACTATTAACATCCATCTAAAATTTTGAAAAAGGCTTCATCTTATCGCAACCTAAAACTTTTTTATTGAAGTAAGTTTTTAGAAATAGTGCGTTTACTCAATAAATCAACTAATTCGATGAGGAAGTAACATCTCATGAAAATCCATTTGCTCACCACTTGAATCGAAAGGTAAATTTGTTCACACAATCGTGAAAAAAAAGTGGTGTACAAACATATTGGACCTTTTAGCCTGTATAACCTCGTTATTTTGACATTTTGGGGACGGAGACCATCCTAAACAACCAAATATTTCTGTTTATCGATTATGTAATCATATTTCAATACGGTTCCTAAGAAAGCAAATAGGTTTCCATTAGATTTTAGTATATCATTAAATCTACAAAGTTTACTGATCTTCAGATTGGAAAAGCCCAATCTCCGAATTTATTTGTTAGTACAAATGTTGTAGATTACCATAAAAGATGAAGCCATTCACCACGGAAAGTCTTAAATAGTGAAGACAATTTTTTTTTTCACTTATAAACTTCTTTTTTTTCTTCCTCGCCTTCGGCTATACGGGATTTTTTCCGGGAAAAGGGATAGGGTGGCGGAATTACGCAAGAGCTAAAAAGCATTTGGACACATTATCTTAGGTTTATCAGGTTGCTTTTCAACGCCTATTTTACACACCCATTAGCCCACTAGGCTACCCCTCCCATTACCTTCACAACTTATTTTATTATTTGGCAAACCCTATTTTAACTACAGTTTGATGGTTTTAGTCCATATATTTTTTATTTTTTCCGAAGTAAAAATGCTTGTCATGTTAAATCCAAGAGCCGAACTAATTGAATTTTGCTTGAACATTGACGATATGTATCTTTTACCAAAATAAATTAAACTTTTTGATACCCCACAGAAAGTATTTCTCAGTTGAGTAATTTTAATTAAAAAAAAAAAAAAACTTGAATTCGGAAGCTCACATTGAAAAAAATATCGGAAAAATCAAGAATAATATACCTGATTATACTCACTTAGGATACATGGTAGGATGACCAATCATCACATATCTGTTGATGGTGATGGCCAGTACAGTAAAGAGGGACACAGCGAGGAGCCCGTACCTGAGGAGGGGGAATAACCTGCAGAGCAGCAGGCCGTGCCTCCAAGACCTGCGCCAGAAGGTGGAAGCGGCGAGCGGGAGGTTGAAGCAGCAGGACATCAGGTCCGACACCGAGAGGTTGATGATGAACACCGCAGTAGCGTTGCGTACCTGAGAAAGGGTTAGTGTTTTTTAAATAAGGCAAGATTGTATTCAAGAGGTGATGACAAAACACTTGAATATCTCTCTATTACATAAAAAAGTTGTTCGTGACTTTCATATTTTATTTTATTATTAAAGCAGTAGGAAAGAAGAGGAGCTAGGCGAGTGTTTTATAAATTTCACAGCTCTTCATTTAATTACATATGTGTTGAGCTCCTGTTACCTCCTACTCTCCTAATACAAAATTAATATTTTATGCTAAGTATTTATACGGTGAATTTATTATATGTAAATAACAAATTTGTTTTATGTTGATAAAATATAATACTGTCTGAACAATAGAATACATGTAAATTAATATCGTACGATTTGAGTAACGAGTAGTACAATAATATGGTCAGTTGTATAATATGTAAAATGGAAGACAGTCCTCCGTTTGCAGGACAGGGGGTACCCCCCAAGTACTATTAAAATAATATATAGTAATAAGCTAATCTACACAGTATATAATAAGGTATAGATCTCTTTTCCAGCTCTCAGAATCCAAGGGGGCGGGGTGGCCGAATAGGCTAAAGCGTGTGTAACAGCACCGCTAGTTGCCTGGCAACCGGATAACAGAGATTTGAGATGATATAAAAAGTACGAGTTTGCGTCCCGGTGCCGGAGGGGATTTTAAATTCCCCTCCCTCACCCCCCGGCCCGGGAAAATTCCGTATAGCCTAAAAGGCGAGGTAGGGAAGAACAAAAAAAAAAAAAAAAAAAAAAAAAAAAAAAGCTCTCAGAAGCCAAGGATTTTAATGAATGAAGTGTCAAATTTAATCAAGAATTTCACGGAGAAGTGACTTATCCAAAATTGGATCCTTTAATCCCTACATCTTAAACAAAAGTCATTAGAAAAGATTGAATTTTTCAAAACACAGATTTCGAAAGTCGCCGAATCGAGATTAGATAGTTGATGTTTTAAAGGTTTAGATGCGAACATCCAAACCAGTACCTGCCTTTTAAACCCCAAAAGGTTTTCGTTTTCCAGATTAATGGTAATTTTAGCCGAATAGCTCTTAGATGCTTTGTTTGCCATGGAATACGTATCACGTTGTGTTTAGGTTATAGAATTAAAATGTTTCTATTTAAGATAGTCTTAGACGAACTAAAATCAACTGGAAAGGTAAATAGAGCTGAATAGTTCGGTGATCTGTTCGGCACTTATATAATTAATATACATTCGCGGTCATAGAAATTGCTTATCCCATTTCCTCTGATTCTAAAGTTGATAACGTTGATTGTATTCAATGCCTTTGTTTTCTTTACTTATTTACGTTACAAGAAAACTTTAACAATGTTGCGCAGTTCAGTTTTTACTAATGCCAGGATACAAGATGTAATTATGACTAGTTACTAGAAACTGTGCTTGTAAGGAAATATGAAAATTGTGACGTCACATGAAGTAAAGTAAATTGCAAGGAAAATAGTAACAAGTATTACCAACAATCAATGGTAGTCATATTTTGAAAAAAACAAAAAAACAAAAGTCACTATGGAGCGAAAGAAAGGAACGGGGAGGAGAAATAAATAAAACGAACAATTAGAACGCTTAATGATGCGATCGTTTTTAGAATATCGTTTCAAAACTGGCAAAAACATATCCGGAGATCTTTCAGATAGAAGTTTGGTAAATAGAATAACATTTAGTAACATTTTTACTGGGTAATGCAATTTCTAAGACCGCGACTGTAATATAGATTTTTGATATATTTAATAAATAAAAAAAATCTAGGTGTGGCTTTTATATTCTTAGTAAGAAAACTACAAACCAACGTTTTAATCTACCAATAAAATAGGCCGAGCGATAATGTATAAGTTCTGGGATTAAACACGTATCAAGTAAATTATTACTTTACATTTTGTGTGTTTAATTCACTATCTTGATAAAACAAATAATCGTCTATCACTGATCGCTTAAACTTAGAAGGGATGAACAGATGGAGGGATTCAATCATGCATAGCTATTTAATGTGAGAGTTCAGTAAGTAACAAAATACATTAAACGACTATATTTTAATTGATTCCAGGTGTAGACAAACTTAAATAAATACAAAATCTTAATAACTTTACTGGGTCGAAATAGCTCATTGAATGAACACTGACTTAAAGGTCCCAGATTCGAATCCGGCTGAATAATTTTTCATCGGCCGTGGATCGACCCTGGGATCGGGAACCCCTCTTGGTGCCCACCCAGCCTCTTTAAAGTACGTATTCTTAATTAAATAATTAATTAAGGGCGAAAACCCGATGGTTGAGCGTGATCTCTGCCCAATTACCTCTCTCAACACCTCGTAACAGTACTATCTCACACAGTACTGAACCCACCCCCTTCATCGGTTGTAGTGGTACAGATTTTTTAGCTTTATCTGAAAAACAAAAATATTTTCTTCAAATACGCAAATGAATTTTAAGTTAATGCATTACTTACTGTTCTTCAATTATTATTGTTGCTTTACCATTTACAAGATGGCATTAGTGTCAATCCAAAATCTCTACAGAAACCTGTTGAGGCTGGGATTATGATACTTTTTTTCTATCCAGAAAGATAGAAAAAATAAGGAATAGAAAGAAGAGAGCTGTAGTGGATAACCCGCTGGGGATGGCAGCTAAGTAATGGATTACGACGGGACTAGTTAGGCTCCAATGGATGTTTTATTCAAGGCGGGGTGCATGTAGGATTGGAGAACCCCGAATCAGCTCCTGTCTGTCTGTCTATCTCCCCCCTCCCTGCAGCACTCCCGCCATATCTCGCATTCTGATGCGGTACATGACCTAGATAGGCTTCAATCTTATGGGGCTGTCGTGATTGTTATGTCTACGCCTCCAATCTTAATTATATTAGTTTTTCTGGAAATTCAGGTTTTAAAATAAATAAATGATAAGAAATTGTTTTCATTAATTAAAATAGGCTCCATTGCTCTCGCTGGTATCTGTCAACGTGTTGGTAACTTTCCCGTTATCTCTAAATAGAACTTTGAATCGTAAATATTAACAAGTTCTGGTAATAAATTTTCCAACGATTTTCCGATCAATACAATTTCAACTTTTGAAAAGTGGCTAAGATGTCTTAAAAACACGGTACTCGGGAGGCGAGTAGACTGGAGATGGAAATGGTTGGTTTTCGTAAAGAAGTGATGCACGAACCTAGCAACGTTGATTTTTTTTACTGTTGTTCAATGCATGAGGAATCCAAATTTCAAGCTTTTTTACCATTGCAATTGCGTTGAGGAGGTCATCGATGGTCGATTTGCTAACTCAGAGTTTCACTATAACTTTTCAAACAGTTATAGTTTGACATCGTTATCACGGGAAGAAGTCGTTTCACGACCACCTTCGTTTTCAAAGCCATCGTTGAATGGTGAGCTCACACTGCCATCGCCTCATACTTTATTAATGTTTTTGGAATTTTAGTCCTAGTTGTTTAAACTCTTAAAACGAAATGATGCAAAAATCACGTTAAAAGACAAGACACTTGTCCCGGGATTTAAAGACTAGAATCTATAAAACCATTATCTTACCTACAGCTCTTTATGGATGCGAAATGTGACCGTTTACATTAAGAGATGAGCAACGTCTTAAGGTTTTTGAAAATAAAGTATTGTGTAGAATATTCGGACCGAAGAAAGATGAGTTGGCCGGAGATTTCAGAACGTTGCACAACGCAGAGTTGCGTGAACTGTATCCAGTTAATATAATTAAGGTGATTATATCGGGCTTGTAAAATATTTGGGCTTAGTAACGAAAGAATTCCTAAAAGTTCAATATTTGCTGTACCGAATGGTAAACGTCTGAGAGGTAGACCGAAGAGAATGTGGGAAGATTGGGTTAAAGCCGGTCTGAAGGGACAGGGTTTGGAGGTCGAACGGTGAAGGGAGGTGTTTAATAAGCGATTGGTGGTGTCGGCATCGAACCTCCTGGTTCTTTTTTTTTCTTACCCTCCAAAATGTTTATTGAAACAATTTACATATAGAGTATACAATAATACAATTTATACATGTAACAAATTATATGTTTATTACAAAATGATTAACTAGTTCTAATTAATATAAGCAATGATTACGTACGAGTATAAACGTCACTTTTTCAATGATTATTTGTTTATTGATAAATATTACAATCTGTCTCAATAAAGGACATTTATAATAGAGTTCTGAGAGCACATTCACAACATATTTACAAATTAAAAAAAATATAAGCTAATTTCAAATAATATAAAGCTATAAAAGAACAAAACAAAATATCATAGCGAAGGAAGAAAATATAAATAATAGTAATAATAGAATGAAAATAAATGAATAAAATAAATTAAAATTATCTTTAAAAAAATAATTAAAAGAATTTTTTTTTAAAAAAAGTAATGAAAATAAACATCTTAGATGCAGGCATACCTATTTATACTATTTTATTGTATTTAAGTATGAATGTTTTTCTATTTATTTCTATTACTTTTAATCTATTTAATTTTGCTATGAATTTCTCTATTTCATTTAATTTTAACTCTAAGTTATATTTCCTTGGTTTATTATAGTTTTTGCCTTTGCTATATAGATGTTTATATTTTTTTTATTTATTTATTTATTTTTTTATGGTATTGTATATATGGTATGAATGTGCCTCACTCAGCCTTAGTAATCAGTGCCCTATCAAGTGTGGTAAAATGTATTATTTCTCAATAAACAAATAAAAAAAAAAATTTATACTATTTACAGTCAGCCATGGGAACTCCGAACCATACTTCTCCCTCCACATGTGGAGGGAAAGCAAGGCTTCAGGAGATCCCTGCGCTCCTTCCTCAACCATTTCACTGGTATTAAAAGCCAGCGGAGATTGAGTAAGGGCGCTACAACCACGGACACTCATGACTTGAGCGGAGAATCTGGCCATTGCCAGAACTCCAATATATACATATTACAAAA